TCCAGCAGAGCTTTGTTGCCTAGGCAACGTGGCGTGTTGCTGTCGCGTCTGTGCCTCCGCCCCTCCAACTCTCGCTCGGGCTTGAGTTGGTTGGTGTGTTTGCCTTCGTATTCCTTGCTGCGTCCCTCCCCAGGCTCCTCCTACTCCGCTCCGTTCACCTTGACCTCCAGAGAGGGTCCACCTGTGGTGTACACCCCTCGCCCCCCCGCTCCATCCCCCTACCATTTCATATGGCGGTGGCGGCTCCTCCTGCGGCCCCTGCAAGTGCGGCCCATACCCTCCAAGTCTCCCAGTGCGATCAACCGCAGAAGAAGGAGAAGAAGGAGGCCCTGTGGTTTGCTGAGATGGGCGACGCCCTAAGCTGCTGGCGCCGCCGGCGGCGCCGGCGGCGCCAGCGGCTGCACCCCGTCCTCGCCCAGGTGCCGCTGGAGGCGCGGGAACACTGGCCAGCGGCTCTGGCTGTACAGTACGTCTGGCTGCAGGCTGATGACGCTTGTCTCTGGGTTGACACGGGGGTGCCTAGACAGCAGAAACATCCACACGTTGCCAATACACCGCAGTTTGTATGCATACAACACGATCAAGGAGCGGCTGGGAGGGAATGGGCTGGAAAACCACAATAGTTAAGGCTACTTAGGACAATGAACAGGCGAAATTGCTCTAGCACTGCTAGAAAGAGCTCGGGTGTATGTTGAAATAAAGCTGACGGCGACGGACGCAGGCGTACCTGTTCTGCCAGTCTTCTGCGCACGGATGCGAGTTCTGTGTTTGCATTTATTTGGAGCGCGCACTGGAAAATAAGAAAAGCCAGGAGAGAAGGAACCAAGACGGCGGAAATAAAACACAGTATCGACTTGTGCTGGCGGGACTTGCAAAGAACGCGACGATCGGTGAGCTGCTGGTCTGAGACCGGGACATACGACCCCACAGCCAAATCTTGTTGTATATCCAAATATACTTCAGGTTTCGTCATTGGGATATTCTATTAATTCCAGAAATTCAGTCAACCGGTAAAGGCTTCACGAGGTCCCACACATCGGAGAGAGTAAGGATCAACACCAATCAGCAAACAGGAAAAGAAACAACTGAGATCAAGCAATAGTTTCAAAAAGCTAATATAAAATTCCCTCCAACAAAAAATTCATTAAAATAATATATATCTCAGGTGACTCTGGCTGCCGACGACGCCGTCGAACCACCGCGTAACCTCGAGCGATGGGGCTTCCAGTAGACAGCTGCAAGCAGTAACAAGCCTTCTCGTGCTAAGAATTAATATCGTGTGCATGCATAAAAAGTATACAAGAAATTTATTCCCGGCGTGTGTGGCTCCGAAAGGATCCCGCTTGAGGGAGCCCTACTCCTGTGTAGCCGAACCCAGCTGAATGGGTGATCGCTGATGCTCGCCCAACCCAACCACACTCCAGCAAAAGGCATCGTAACATGTAGTAATATTCAATCACAAAATACTGATTACGATCGTTTGCAGGGTACCAACAACTTGTCTTTCCGGCAAGACGATGCAGTGCAAAAGTACCTGTATAGCGGGGTGTGTGCTGACCTTGTAGCAAGGTCTATATGGAGCTGGGGTTTCTACTTGCATGCAGTCTGGCTATGAATGGCCAAGTATGTGTCCCGTAATCCTCAGGAGTGTTATTGCTTGCAGCTGATGGGGTATGGGTTGTGCCTGCACCTCGGGTTACCTTGCAGCCTTAGTTGCAGCGAGGTGTGCTGGGGAGAATGCCAGGCCATTCATCCAGCACAAGCTTTAGGCCTTTGGGTCGCTGCGGCCAGTATACTTAGTAGCCAGAGTAGATGTTTTCTGTGTTTCCCAGAGTATTTGACCCAGCTGCTGTTCACTGCAGTCCTCTGCTAGACCGGGGGCAATCGTTACACTTAGTAGCACCATAAGGTTCATCGGGTATCTGCGACCAGCGAACTCCACCTCTACACCAGCTGGAGGAAGACATTTAAACTGAACGCACAAACAACGCCCGTATACACTATTTGTTGCGCCGTTGCCAGCGTAACTCATCGAATTTTCATCATGTTCTTCCCTGATACGGGAAAGATTTATAGTACAACACAGAGCCAATCAGCCCGCTATTCACCTGCTTCCCTGTCCTGCACAGAAACACCGATTTCTGAACTGACGTTGGCGCTGGTTGTTTTCAGCCAACCAGGAACCTATCTTCGCTACAACGTGGAGACGAAACAATACCAGCACTCTCAACTTTATGAAACAGGTCAGGGAATCACAGAGATATCTTCGAACTCTTCTATGGAAAAGGAAAAGGCATCAACGGCATTGCAGGAAGGAGTAACGGGAGAAAACTGAAACTTTGGCCACACGTGTAAAGGCGTCCAGCGACCCCGCAAATAGAAAAGTAGTATTTCAAATGGATAGGAGGCAAACAACTGAGTGCGTTTCTGATTGCTGCATGTGTGCAGCAATTCCTTCAGACGCATTCAGGTGCCATCGTCAGCTCAGCAGCAGCCACTACAAGCGCGGATGTGCACAGTATATAGTGATATTATGCCGCATATATTTTATGTTGACAGTTGACTTGCCAAATGTATTGCGGACTCACAAATATATTTCTGTGTAGTCTCCGGTGTTAATCAATTCACAGTTGTGATACACGCCCCTCCCTCTACTTATGGATAGCGTGGCGATTCCGGTGACGAGAGTTCCACTCTCCCCCTATGCTGCATTTTCAAGCCCGGGCGGCCCCCTCGCCCCACGAGATTTGACGCTGTGCTTAGCTGCAGTTCACTACTTATTTTTGTTAAGTATTAAATGAGGCTCCTACCCCAGGAACAAGGCGCATAAGGAGTTATTAACCAGTGGTCACATGACTGCATAGACGTGTTGCAGCGACAAGCATTCAAGAGCAGCCACAGCAGGTATACACGCCGGTAGCAGATACCACTCACCTTGCATCACGTGTTTTCTTCCCCTCATGTTTTCGAGGCACGCATGGTGTGCATGCTGTCGTTAGTATCTTTGCATACGTCTATGGGCCTTGCTTGATAACAATTTATTGGGTCGGCGAAACTTGTGCTCCTCCCCGCACACCTAGCATCCCTTTGGCAGTTTCCAATATCTTTGATTTGAATGTAAAGCGTGGCTGTAGGTCCAGACTATATGCGCACTGCTGCAAAGGTAGCTTCTCTCCCTAACGAACGAGTAAATCTGAGAACGCAGTAGGGATCTCGGGCACTGAAAGTTACCTTGCAGCTGCATCAGGTGAATGCATGTATAGTGCTAGTAAAGCGGAAAACAGGTGCATATGTACATGGATGAATGGGAAAGAGAAGATGTAGAATGTTGAATGATGGGAGCCTGATATATAAAGTCTACAGGTCCCAGCTGCAGATGCATCAAGCACAGTGTCACTGTCGCAATTCGTTCTTTCCGGTTATATTTCACTGCAATCAGCGATACGAAGCAAAAGTTGTTGTGGAGGAGTTACCTGAAGCGCCCTCAGAGCGCAACGTGTCTGTCCCCTTATTGTTAATGAAATATTTCAAACGCATCTCGGAGTGGGAATTAGTGTTTCTGCTTGGATCATGTATTCGAACTGTAGTAAAACATTCTTCCCTCGCCCACTTTCCCCCTTGGGGGAACAAATATTGCTTGCATCTTTTCCGCCTCTCTCTCTCTCTTTTTCATACGTTTTGACTATCTTCACACACACATACAACTTTATGTACGACCCTCTTCTCGCACGTCGAATTCTCACAGCTGCCGTGAAACTAGTAAATAAGTTAAAGAAAGTGGAAGCTCTATCTGGAAAAGTGGTAGGTGGACCAGGACCTCACTAAACACTGAGCGCACGTCTTACTATTGAAGTCTCAGCACGAAAAAAAAAACTCTGTTACAATTAAAGATTGCCCTAACCTATACCACCAAGCCTCCCCTGCTTATGCATTGATATCCCAATGAATCATGCCGCAAAGTTGTAAATATTACACCCGAATATTAATGCATAAGCAAGGATGTTTTTTTGTGTACAGGCAAAACTGTACCCAACGTAGATAACTTTCCTGTAGCAAATCTCCCCTAGTATTTGTTTCTAAGGTTAATATAACCACAACTTACCCATAAACAGTAGGTCAATATACTCTCACGATATATATATATATATATATATATATATATATATATATATATATATATATAAATGGCTAG